CCAGTATGACAGTCCTTTATTACTGGAAATTAGTTAGGCCATGCCAAAAAAAGCATCAGGAGGCATTAGCCAAAACAAAACAGTAAATATATCAAATTACAGGGAAAAAGAAGCAAAAAGAAAAATCTTAAACTAGTTTAATTTATTTAAAAACAAGTTTTCTCTACCTCGATCCCAATTTTATATAACAGTACAACAAAATATTTGCTAAATTTACTTTCAGACCAATTAACCTATTTTTGCATAAGATCACAAGATCTTTTGCTGGCTTTGTTGGAATTTCCATATGGTATCAGAGTGAACTCTTGAAATCCGGTCCATGCAGGCTTCAGGAATATAATTGGTCTTGCCAAACTCCACCTGGGCTTTCCTCTTCTCGAGGGTACCAGGACTTTTTCTTTTCCAGTTGTCCAGTCTTGCCCATGGAGGCAGTTTCCTCATCTTCCTTGGAGGTCTCTGGAATGCTATGAACAAAGCAGCAGTTTCTCCTCTTCTTGGTTCAGCTCTATGCCAGCTCCCTGGAAGAATTCCACTCAAAGCCACACAATGAAACTCATTCCCAATTTACTAGTATAAGCAGACAAAAATCCCTATGGAAGTTATGCAAAAATAGACACTGACATTAGTAAAAAACTACTACCTCTATTTTTATGGTACATTGGTATCAAGGTGAGAGAAAATACAAATACGAGTTAGCTCTGCCGGGAAAAATAATACAACATTACTGCAGATCCTGGTCAGTCAAAACAAGAAGACTTTGTTGAATCAGAGCAAAATGGAAAAACATTTCCAGTATTATGTCAAATAAGACTTAGTAAAAATCAGGTATATTTCCAACAGTCTATGCAGTCCTTTGTAGAAAATTTTTACTGTCAAAAGTTGTATCAATTTGAATCAATTGAGGCCTTTTCTCCTTATTTTTTGCAGAAACAATTTCTGCAGACATCAAACCATTGAAGTACACAATATTGCAAGGCAACAATCACCATTGACAATTTACATACATATCAGGTACTGAAAGATTTTGTTTTAGAAACCATTTTTAACATTTCTGTACATGCCAAAGTTTTACCATTTTTCCAAGTGACAATGCTTCCCTTCTAGTGTAACTTTTCTAGGTATACCAAATAAGACAAATTTATCTAATGCCTTTCCCAGGAGGAAAGGAAGAAACTTTGTGGAGTGTTTCTGGAGCTCTACTGAGGTTCCACAAAATTTCCTTCCATTGACCAAATGACAGTCTACCAAATTTTACTTCAATTTAGATTTTGGGGAAGGTTTGTCATTAATATGAGAAAACAGCAACAACAACCATATTTAATCTCTATGAAAGTTCCAGCCCTAAGTATAATATTGACAGTCAAATCATAACCTTTAATTTTCATCTCAAAAACTTTAGTAATTCTTCAGACACTTAAAAGACATTATGCACCCAACATCATTAACCCAGACAAGAGCCAGGATTATACCCAATGCTAGTTTATAAGTACATGTTTTGAAACAATGCACCAGACCACAACTCAGTTACCATTAACCAAAAATTATTTCAGCTGATGTGTTCACAAAACACTAAGGTAACTAAAAAATTTTTGTAACAAATCATTTGAGTATACAAAATTTCTTTTTCTAAAATTCCTATCTCAGATCTTCAACACTTTCCTTAGCTTTGTTACTTTTAACTCTTTCTTTTGCTTTCTTAAAATTTCTTTTTTAGATCTTCAACATTTGCTTTAACAATTTTTACTTTACTTTTAAGACCATTAAAATATCTATTTTTAATACATGTTTTTCTTTTTTTAATTTTTAATTTTTGTTTTTTTCTTCCCCTCACCCCCTCAGGTTGAGTCCCCATAGAATTTCCTTCCCCAAGGTACCCAGGCACCATCACCACAGTCTCCTGTTCTCCTCCCTTCCTCTCTCTGATCCCTCTTAATACACGTTTTCTTTGCAAGCACACATCTCACTTGACATCGATTTAGGATTGTCACATCTTTTGTTTGCAGTAAGACATTATAATACTCTTATACTATCATCTCTTTGGACTAGATGACTTAAATGTAAACACACAAGGTAACATGACATTAGAATTTTTAGCTTTTTCACAATAGGCGCAAAAAGTAAACCTGAAAGTTTAGTTATAGCTTTAGTTTCTGTTAGGACTGGAATTCCATTTTTCAGGGCTGTTAATGAAACAATGGCACATACCAAGGTTTTTCTAGGCTGGCTAATAATCAACAAGCATTAGGCAGATTAATAAAAACAAAAAAATCAGAGCAACATATAGATACTATGTACATTTTTCATATACATGTGACTCAGTAGGAAAGAAAAAAATACCTTTTATACCAGAAGTTTCTTTTGAAGTAAACACATTTAAAAAGAGTAAATTATTAATATTTAACATTAAAAATTTAAGGCATATATGCTTTGAATTATATCATAAGATTTGAACTAATTATTGTTTATCAAAAATCTTGGATCACAATCTCCAGATTTGTTTCTATGAGAATTTATATATGTGCTGTTTATAATTAGTCCTCCGGAGGTAATAATAATAAAAAAAGACAGTTATAAACAGACACCAACAGACACAGAGAGTTCTTGATATTCATTTAAAACTTTGGCCATTTATGTAAATTTTAAGAGATAGTTATTTTATCAATATTTGTGAAGACACTGAGAAACCTGTTATTGATTTAATTTCAGTTCTATAACAACTCTTTTAGATCAACCATATTTTAAATTTGTATTTTTAAGAGTAACTCTGGCTTTAAAGAAGCTGTGCACAGGAGCCTCCCTGGTGGCACAGGCAGTTGAGCACAGCGCTGTGAAGCTGTCCACAGCCTCTGCAATGCTGGTTCGATCCCCACCAACCTCAGAGCAACCCACATGGTGAGCAGACCTCTCCTGTCTCGCCCACTGCTCCCCTCAGCAGTGTATTTCGTCAGTCTGCCTGTTCTGTTCCCCGCTATGTCTGGTGAATCCTCTCACCCTCCCGTGCATCTGGCCTGTACCCTAGTTCTTGCATAAATAAAATAAATCTTTAAAAAAAAAAAAAAAGAAGCTGTGCACAAAGAATTTACATTAGTTTTTTAAGACCAGAAAAAAAAATTCTTTTAAAATTGTAAAAGAGCCTTCATAAAACATCTCAAACAACCTAGTTTTTGAGATGCCTTAGATTTTCATTTAAGTTTGATATTCTCATTTACCAAGTTTTCCCAACACACTTGTATATTAAGAAGTTTTTTAGTGAGATAGAGGCTAAAATCTTTGCATAGAATAAGTGTCTAATCTTAATTATTACTAAAGACCTAGGACTTGAGACCACAATGGTTAAGGCAGTTTTTACTGACTTTTTTAGATAAGAAAATATTTTTGAGTTTATATTTTTAAGAAATGATCCTTCCTTTAATTTGTTAGTGTTTTATCTCACTGAGAACAAGATATTTTTAAGACAAAAAAGAACACTGTTATCTGAGGACAGGAGAAGAGGTAGATTTTTATAGTCTGCCCGTTTTTAGGCTTTTATCAAAACCTCAGGGTTAGAATTTAGCTCAAAAAGTTTGTATTTTCACTTTATATTTTTACCAGGTTAATTAGTTTTAACAAGAAACTCAACCTTTTATAGGCCCAATAAGTACATTTAAAAGCTTTTACTCCACCAATAAGCATTTTGTAGGAGACACAGGGAAATAGAATTTTTTCCCTATAGAACAGGCCAGAATAGTATTTCAAGGTGGACAAAAGGAGAGTCCAGTCCCCCACAGCAGGAAGGCAGTAGAGACCTTTCAGTGATCCCAACACTGGAGAAAAAGTCTAGGCAGCTGCTTGCTGAGACCAGGGGCAGCCCCCACCTGCCCTCTGCAGTGGGTTGATACTATTTTAATAAAAACCTTTTAATCTCATATAGTCATATTATAACCATTTCATATGACTTTAACAGTTGTGAATAAACTTTGAATACTATTTTTTTTAAAATACCTTTTTTATTTTTCTTAAAAAGAACAAATGGCAAAACTCCAGTGTCAGGAACACTAGCCTTCTCCCCAAATAATTAATAGGAAAAGCTTGAAGATTTTCTCCCTCCATTTATAAGACTGTGTTACATTATCTCTTACTCGTTCCCAAGTTTCTATATCCAACAACTCGTCCTCTGGGAACCATGGGTTATATTTTTCTACTACTCTTAAATATTCTAGAATCTGGCTAAGGGATATTTTTGCCCCTCCGTCAGAAAGCAGATGCTACAAAAACTAAGCAAAAGGAGAAAGCCTTGAAGAAGATTGCCCCATCTGGAATTCCCCACCTCTACTCACGTCCATCTATAGAGTTGCGACTGCTGCCATCACCTTGTCACGTTGGTGGGAGATTTCTCCTTCAGGTCCCTGTTCAGGCGCCACTTGTGAGCCTCAAGGGGGCTCTGTGACCTGGGACGCAATCGCAAAGGACACACCAGATGGGAGACTGCTGTCAGCAACAAGCAGTAATTCTTTATTTTTCTCAGCATTGTTATATAGGAAATGTGAACAAGGACACCTGCGTTTTATCATAAGTCAGAGAAAACAAAACCACCTTGCCTCGCACGCCATGTACGTGAGCCCAAGCATGCCGTGTATGTGAGCCTTTGGCCTTATCCAGTCGTGCCTGTCCTCATGAACATCTGCTGCACTAAGTTACGACCGAGGAGACTTCCAAGGAAGGCACAAGTACAGGGCATCCCTCCCAGGCAGTTTGCCATCCTGGCACACATGAGTCTGTTCAGCATTTCTGTCAGCCCTTTTCCTTGCTGTCCTCAGGTCACCTCTTGATCATCCTTACACAACAAAAGGGAATTGTTATGTGATTGCTACCTAAACTTTTAGATCACTCCTAGAAGACACAAAAACACATTTGGTGTGGCTGTTCACCAATAAAAATTAATTTGCTATTTATTCATACTGACCCAGCTCACCATATCTTTCTTCAGCACAGCTCAGCACTGCAGACATATTATATCAGCTTGTTTTTCATGTGTAATGATTTGCATGCTTACTGTAGAAAGTAGAACGTGAAAGAATGAAAGCAGGGCTGGCTTTTTTACTGGGGGGAATAGATAATTTTCTGCATCATATGATTTAGTGCCACAAGAGAGCAGCTCACCCACAAAATGTACCTTCTGATATTCTTCTAAAATAATGTACAGGGGCCTCCCTGGTGGCACAAGGGGTTAAGCATTGCACTATGAAGCAATCTGCAGCCTCTGCAGCATGAGTTTGATCCCTGGCTGGCCAGGGAGCAATCCGCATGGCGCAGCAGACCTCTCCTGTCTTGCCCACTACTCCCCCCAGCAGAGTATTTTGTCAGTCTGCCTGTTCTGTTCCCCACTCTGTCTCTGGTAAATCCTCTCACCCCTTACATCTCTGGCCTGTACCCCAGCTCTTGTATGCATAAATTAATAAATCTGTAAATAAAATAAAATAATGTACAGTCCTGCACATCTTGTGCAAATGATAATACACATAAATGATCAGACAGTTTAATAAAAAGCAGAAGAATATGGTTACATTGGGCTGAACAATTTCGTAATTCTGACCATTTTTCTAGGAGCCCTCTTTTTCAGAAGTGTAAAACATGATTTTCCCCCAGAGATGTGATATTCAATTTTTTCTTAAAGTGCATGCATTTCTGGGTATTTTGTTTTATTTTTTCTTGGGCTAATTCGATTCTCTCTTCCTCTCTCTGAAGTACATCTGACTTCAGTGCAGACCACTGAAAAGGGCTGCTTCTTACGTATCCTGTGCTTCCCACTACTCATTGCAGTTTGAGTCTTTCTTTCTGGTTGTGAGACCATCTTCAACTTGATACCACCTGAGCAGACCAAGTTCACTGGCTTACCTTCTGCTATTTATCACCTGCCCCTCTGCAAGCCCTCATATCTCTAAGAGTTGGCGCAATCTCCATCTCTCATTTTTGACAGTAATCAATATCAGTTCCCTTTCCATGCTTTCCCTACTACGCTTCATCCTCTTTACATCTCAATCACTTTCTCTTATTTTGAAGTTCTATTCTTCTTAGTTTCTCGTTTTCCATGAGTTTTGACTCCAGAAGATTGGGCTATTATAAACTAGTATGCATTTATTTTTCCAAACTATACATAAATAGATCATAATGTAATCAATATCTACATGAGCAATCATATAATTTCATTTTAATCTTCTGGCCAGGATTTGATAAATTTTGATGAAGTATAGAATAGTGGCATAAGACCTACAGATATTGTGCAAAAGCTTAGGATTGGGGGAAAAAAATCAGGTGTCACTGTTTTAAGTATCCTTTGAGCAACAGGGCTCAGATGTCAAAAATCTAGCAAAGTCATCCTGACCGACTCCCTGGTTGCCTTAAATTTCTGTGCGGAAGGTGAGGGTGCTGCCTGCCATTTTCTTCTCATAGTCCTTATCAAATTCTTCATTTTGGGCCACAGTAAAATGGTTCTTCCAGTCCCCAGGCATCCCTGAAACAAAGCAAAGCCTCAGTGACTGCTATGGGCATACAGAGAAAAAGTGAACACGTGCTTTTAGAACTGGCACAAAAACAGGAGTGGAAAGGAAGCTTGCCTCTCAGTAAGTATAGTGTTACTGAAAAAAGTAACCAGTGGAACAGGAAGCATTACTTGAAAATCTGAGCATATCCTAGCGGACAATTTCAGTTTGACACCTTAGAATATAAGTCTCATATACCTTTCCTCATAAAAGGGGAGATGGAGTGGTCCATGATACTGGTTGGCAAAGTGGTGTAGTTGGCCATTGGGTTTTCCTTCATTACATCAAAGGAGGTGTGATAGATTATTTTATTCAGAATTTCCTCTGATACTTCTTTCTCCAGGAACTTTAATATCTTCTGAATTTCCCTCTTTGGGTCCTGGATGGAGAACATTTATACAAAACAAACAGTTCTGGGTTTTCCATTAGGGATGACATTCTGTTGGGCATGTAGTTTGGGGGAAGGGATGAACTAAGGGACTAGTTCAACTATATTCAACAAATATTATTCAAGTGAGGACTATATCCAAGGCACTGTACTGTCCCAGGTGTTGCCACTGACCTCAAAAGGTTTACTTTGCAATAGAGGAAAGAAAAGTAATCACAACAGCTGTCCATGGCCTAGAAGCACATTCTGCCCACATATAGAGAGTGCCAAGGAATGTGATGGGAATGCGCTAGTATAGCTCCTGGCCTAGATCAGGGAATGCTGTATATATTGTGGGAAATGGGGCTATGAAGTACTGTATAATTAACTCTAGGATTTACCCCATAAGAGATGGGAAATGGTCTATGAGTCTAATAGAAGTTCCACAAGAGGATGAATAAAAGGGATCTCAGCACCCAGAAATGTGAATCTTTGTGCCTTGTTATAGGAGACAGTTTTGTAATTGCAGGACATGGGGTAATGGGAATGAATTTGTGATGCCACTCATACATAATGACTCGAAATGGAGAAATCAGTCCTCTGTTCCCATATGTGGAACCAATCCTGCCAATGTTTATATGGGTTAAACCTCTGAATGTGACGTGGGTTTGGAAAAGAGAGAAGGAAACTAATTGTGTTGAATATAACCAGGCACTTCACTAAATCTCATAAATCCTTATAAAAATCTTTTGTCCATGAGTGAGATGTTACCAATTTTGTAGGGGAAGAAGTATGACTCAGATATATCAGGATTGATTCAACCATATAGGCATGTGATATCTCCTTTCATGGAAGGGTCTTCTGGAAATTTTGAACTAGATGAAAGAAAACTTAAAAAACCAAAGAAATAGAACTTTTGAGGAGAAATTGAGTTGGAAAGAATGTCATGGAGAAAGAGGACTGGCACTGCAGCCTCTTCTGTGAACAAGCTCACATGCTAGATTTCAACAGGAGTTTGTGGACTGGAGAACGTGGGAGGGTCTGACAGAGACAGCACTGCCCTCACCTCCTTCATGTCTTCATAGAAGAGGTAAAGGATGCGGTGCTGGTCCTTGGCTTCCCACCATCCCTTTACATGGTCATGCCAGGAGCCCCACAGCACTGAGGGAAAGGAGACAGATGGGACATCAATCAACCTAAACTTATAAAATAGGCATGAAATGTCTCAATAAGAAGTCATTTAATAAGTTCAGTCAGATGACCAAGACATAAGGCAGGATTCTTATTTGCAAAAGACAGGGTTGGTTTTTTTTTATTTTTTATTTTTTTAATTTAAATTTTATTTTTATGTTCCCCATACAATTACAACCCTCTTATTTTGACCCCAATCCCTTCTTTCCCTGCCCCCCCATCCCTCATAGTGTGTCTCTGGTTCATAGTTGTTTGTTGATGTTGATATTTTCTTTCTTATAGTTATTTTTTTCCTGGTCCCTTATTTAAATTTTCTAGGTTCCTGCTATGAGTGAGACCATCTGGTATTTTTCTTTTTCTTTCTTGCTTATTTTGCTGAGCATGATCCCTTCCAGCTCCATCCATGTTGCTGCAAATTTCATGTGTTTATCTTTTTTGAATGCTGATAGAAAGTATTCTGGATTCCTGGACTTCTGTTTCTACTTTTGAACAAATTACCAAGTGTGACACTGTCTTGTGACCAATGATTCATGATCTTCATTTCCCTTGTATCATGGCATGGTGCCTAGACAAGGATTGTGCAATAAATATTATTTCTTACGAGGTTTGTTTGAAAAGAAGATTTTTACTCTGAAAAATCTATAATTACCAGATATTTTGATTGCTCTCTATAATGATGACTGGCAGGCAGAGAGGTGCACTGGTGTCTTTTGTGGACCCTGCCAGAGCCACTCTTCATCCTTATCCATCCTAGGAGGTAGATTTCTATGAATTATATCAACAGGCTAACTTTTCCTCAAGTTTCTACCAGGGACTTGCCAACAAGAGGCATTAGAAGGCTTTTGGAGTTGAGAAGAAAGTGAGCAGTTTTTATGATACCCTCTCTGTTGGCTCACTATAGTTGATTATTTCCTCTAACATAGGTCGCAGATCCTATAAAAAGGGTCTCTCCTTTCTCCAGGGATCAAGAGATCCCCATGGTGTTCTCCCTAGAATAGTCTTTTATCATCTATTGGTTTCTTTGGACTGTGCCAGTAGCTTTCTAAGCAGTCCACTAAACTGTCCTTAAATGATTTCGTTTGAATGTGCCTCAATAACTACAACTAATCAATGAAACCCTTCATTGTCAGTAGGTAAATAAACAAAGAAACATGAATACACAATTTCCTTTCACTTACCCTTTCCAGCTTTGAATGTCTCGACATATTCCTCCCATGTACCAGGGTCAGGGACCATTTTATTCATTCTTGAGAAATGATAGTAGGACACCAGACAGTCCTTTGCATTTCTAGCCACATAGATTATCTTAAATAATGTAGCAAGGAGAGTGAGATACAAAGAAAACAAGATAGAAAATATTATTGCATACTATTATTGAAAATATTATTGCATGCTATTACATATCATGTTATTAGAAAGACTTTAAGAAGAATCTTGGACTATCCCAGCAAGAATTAATGCATTTCTATGGTCAAGGTGGACCATATCTTCCATCTTTCTCAGGCAGAATTCCAACTTCCATCTGTGTTCTAGGTATAATTATGAAGTGTCCTGATTTACCATCATCACCTTAATTGATATTCCTGCAGGTTAAGGAGACTACTGTGGGATTTTTCAGTGCTAATATGACAGGACCCCAGAGGGCAGTGCTACCTCTAATTTTGGAGCTGATTGTGGTGCCATCATATCACAGCATCATGAGACTGTTCAGAGATGTGCTGAAGGAGACTTGATTTTCACAAGGTTAAGATCTGACCTCTTGACTTCTTGCCTTCCTCCCCTTCCTCCCCCTCATTACTCAGCCTTTAACCTCAGCCTTCACTATGTGCATCCTCAGCAGGTTTGAGAGAAGGAGCATATGATTGTTTTCCCAAGCATTTTTCCCAGGGACTCATGGGATGGAAAGAATTTCTGGCACAACATAACCAATCACCCAATCATATTTTTCTCTTAGCCAGTTACTCTAGGCCTTACATTTCCAACTGCACACCCCCTGGCTCCTTCAGATGAACATAGACCTGGCATGATTCTGATTCTCATTTAATTCTGTATCTAACATTCATGAAAGCACTTAGGAAAACAGAGAGTATGATACAACTGCCAAATTCTTAGTATGTAAGTATATCTCTTAATGCTTATGTGGGTTATCGCCTTTTTGCAATCAAAGTAGGAATAACTAGACACAGGTATTATGGACCTGACAGGGAATATATTCAAATTTATTTGTGGTATGGAATCAAATAGATGGGTGTGACATAATCTCAAATATTAAATTTTCTGAGAGTCTGTTGAATCATTTGTGTGACTTTCCTATTGCTGCTGTACATATTACCACAAATGTATGGTTTAAAATAAGAGGTTTATTCTCTTACAGTTTTTTTCAAAGATTTATTTATTCATTTATAAAGAGCTGGGGTAAGGTCTAAGGTCAGATGTGCGGGAGGGTGAGAGAATTCACCAGAGACAGAGCAGGGAACAGAACAGGCAGACGGATGAAATACACTGCTGAGGGGAGCAGCGGGCGCAACAGGAGACGTCTGCTACACCATGTGGGACCCTCACTGGCCAGCCGGGATTGAACCTGCACTGCAGAGACTGCCGACAGCTTCACAGAACTGCACTCAACCGCCTGTGCCATCAGGGGAGGCCCTCTCTTACAGTTCTGTAGGGCCAGATTTCACTAGATTAAGGTCAAGCTGTCAACAGGACTGGTTCCATCAAATGACTCTATGGGAGAATCCATTTCCTTACTATTTCTCTGCAGGCCACCAACATACCTTGGTTCTTGACCCTGTTCTTGAATCATTACAATCAACTGTTGCAGTTGGCACATCACCAACTTCCTCTTTTGATCATATTTCTTGCCTCTTCTCATTATACTGATATTTAGGATCCACTCAGATAAGCCAGAATAACCTTCCCATAATGACCTTCTCAAAATCCTCAACTTCATCACATAAGCAAAGTCCATTTTATCATATAAGGTAGCATTCACATGCTCTGGTGATTATGATGTAGAAATCTTTGGGAGATGATTATTTAACTTACCAATCATTCCATCAAAAAATGAAAAGCTTGGATTCCTATTCAAAGAACCAACAATTCTAAGCAATAAGGGGGGGAGGGAGTGCTGTCATTGAGATTTTTACATTTTTAGAAGGCCTGATTTAACAAAAAAGGAATTAATTAGTATAATGACTAACAAAGCATTTGTGTGTCTTCAAGCAATGAACCTACAACATTGTTTAGAAATAATATTGATGGACCTCCCCGGTGGCGCAGCAGTTGAGCGCTGGATTGCAAAGCTGCCTGCAGCCTCTGCAGTGCTGGTTCGATCCCTGGCTGCTCCCTGGCCACTGGAGGAGGGTCGCGCATGGCGCGCAGAGCTCTCCTGCCGCCCGCTACTCCCCTCAGCAGTGTACTTCGGTCCTTCTGCCTGCTCTGCTGTCCACTCTGGCTCTGGTGAATTCTCTCACCCTCCTGCGCTTCTGACTGTGCCCAGTGCTTGTATAAATATAAATAAATAAATAAATAAATAAATAAATAAATAAATAAATAAATATTAAAAAAAAGAAATAATATTGATTCTTGAGCTGCAGAAGTTATAAAAGTTGCACAAGTCAGGGTGATCCGGGTATAACGGTGAAGCAAACCAGGAATGGGAAAGACTTTTTATATGTGGAAACTTATATAATTGCATTGTACCCTGATTGAAGATAAGAGATGGGCAGGGTGAAGAATTAGTGAATCATAGAATCCCAGAAAAAAAAAGGAGAGTCAAAAGCAGTCACTTAAATTATGTATCTGAGCACTGCACTGAAGAGAGAATATTTTGCTGAACAGACTTGACCATCTGGTTCCTTTGGTAAGGCTTGAGACCAGAAATTAAAAGAGTCTGCAGCTGTCTTAGCTAAGAGATTCTTTTTCAGATCAACTCACATTCCTAGCAACCTTTTATATCACTGGGTTTCTAAAGCAGGTTTCCAACAAAGAGGATGATATAGTATTTGATTCTTCTGGATGGTAACTCTTTTTTGTTGCAAGTTGATGTTTCGTTTATATTACATATTTAATTGATTTCAAGACTCACTAATGAAGTAGATATCAATGAAAAACATAATGTACACTGCATTTATAAGACCTGAATATGAAATAAGCTAAACTAAAAATAAACTAAACTTTTAAATAAACTAAACTTTTTAAAAATAAAAAACTAAAACTTTTAAAAATGGAGGACACAGGGGTATAATAGTAGGTGGGAGCTTGCCAATTTCTAGGCACTGCATCATGGTGCAATGGCTCATCATATCCTTTGTCTGCACCACTCTCCCCCTCTCAAATTTCCTCTAAGTAAGTCCCTTTCATATCTAACTCAACCTTGGCTCTTCTTCAATGATTCAAAATAAGATAAGCATTCCTCAGGAAATATGTACTTTGTTTCACTGCTCACTCTCTTTGGATATAGTTTAATAGGTAGTTACTCTGAATGTCTTCACCTGAAAACTTCCTAGTGTAAACCCAGAAATAATACGTTGAAGAAAGGTGTATCCAGAATGAGGTGTGAGTGAATGTTGGGGTAATGCCACCATCTTCCCTATCCTCCACTGGTTATTTCTTTTTCTATATCTTTGATCACTTATCACTTACATAGGAAGGTTCACTACACATACATATCACAACTTGATTTAAAGAGTTGACTCTTCTTACCTTTGAATTTTCTTTCCAGAAGGAAGGTGGTAACATCTGAACAGGCAGATGAGTCTTCAGAGTTCTAGGAGAAGGCATTTTGCTGGCCAAATCCAAACCTGGGAAATAAAGTAACACAATTTGGCTGAACATTTCTCATCAGTTCCATGTATTCAACATTATCTGAAATCACATTGACCAAGTCATTGGCTCTTTGTCTAAAATTATGGTTTTACATTTCATTGTTTCCCTCCTAATAACAATATTATCATTCATTCTGACAGAAAAAAAAACACTTAAGAGATATTGAAAACCACCAAGACAACAATATTCTCTTTATTTGGTGAGTGCTTGTGTGGACAGATTAAGATGATGTGGGAAGTCTGAGGTTGGTGATGGCTGTGATCCCAACAGTCCCTTGCTATTTTGTCCTTGGGGTTTTCTATACTGCTATATGGAATAGATAAAGGCAACTGGAGAAGAGCTGTCATACCTCTAAAAGGAGGGCAGTTATTGAACTGGTTCTATCTAAGAACTGTCAGTCTTTCAAACTTTACTTTTCAAGACCAAGAAACACAAAAGTCACCAGTCATAGGCTAGCACTGTATTCTGTGCTGGAACATGTTTTCAGATCAAAAAAAAAAAATCTTGGATGTCCACCCGTGTCTGTGTAGGGATCTCTTTTAACAAACCTTTTCCTTTCAAAATCAGCAGCAGCTTTCTTCCCACCTGGGTCTATGCAGAGTCTATACCTCTTTTTCCCTTTTTCCTTTCCTATTAAACTTATCCTTTGAAATATCAGTCTTTGCCTGTTTGAGTCTATACAAACATTTTTTCCTTAGTAAACTTGGTGTGTGCCTCTGAAAAGGGAACGCTGTTAAAATTTTTCTCAAAGGTAATCCAAGGGCCCCACTCAGTGCACCCTATCATCTCATTAGAACCCCATCACGAAAGTTTTTCTATCAAGAAGAATATGCCCTCCAGTGACTGAAACCAGGTCCAGAGGCACCACTTTCAGGTGGGGAAAAGTCCTAGCAATTCAGTCCCTGTACCCAGCGGCCTCCCAGCACTCCAAGCCACCTGAATCAGGCCCAAAACCACCACTCCTGGGAAAGGAGAGGTTCCAACAACTCAGACCCTCAAACCAGAGCACTTCAAGTTCTCCTAACCTCCAGAACCAGACCCAGAGACATTATTCCAAGATAAGATGAAGCCCCACAGACTTAGCTCCTCTGTCCAGCATACTCCCAGCCTCAAGGCTGGGAGTCACCAGTCATAGGCTAGTCACCAGTCATAGGCTAGCACTGTATTCTGTGCTGGAACATGTTTTCAGATCAAAAAAAAAAAAATCTTGGATGTCCACCCGTGTCTGTGTAGGGATCTCTTTTAACAAACCTTTTCCTTTCAAAATCAGCAGCAGCTTTCTTCCCACCTGGGTCTATGCAGAGTCTTTACCTCTTTTTCCCTTTTTCCTTTCCTATTAAACTTATCCTTTGAAATATCAGTCTTTGCCTGTTTGAGTCTATACAAACATTTTTTCCTTAGTAAACTTGGTGTGTGCCTCTGAAAAGGGAACGCTGTTAAAATTTTTCTCAAAGGTAATCCAAGGGCCCCACTCAGTGCACCCTATCATCTCATTAGAACCCCATCACGAAAGTTTTTCTATCAAGAAGAATATGCCCTCCAGTGACTGAAACCAGGTCCAGAGGCACCACTTTCAGGTGGGGAAAAGTCCTAGCAATTCAGTCCCTGTACCCAGCGGCCTCCCAGCACTCCAAGCCACCTGAATCAGGCCCAAAACCACCACTCCTGGGAAAGGAGAGGTTCCAACAACTCAGACCCTCAAACCAGAGCACTTCAAGTTCTCCTAACCTCCAGAACCAGACCCAGAGACATTATTCCAAGATAAGATGAAGCCCCACAGACTTAGCTCCTCTGTCCAGCATACTCCCAGCCTCAAGGCCACAGAAACTGGCCCAGGGTCACTATGCAGCAGAGTTGAGGTGTGAGGTACCAGTGACTCAGGCCCTCCTCTTAGTGCCTCCTAGCTCTACTGGTCAAAGGAAACAGGCCCAGAGGTGCTCAAGGGGAAGCCATAGCATCATCTTAGATTTCACAAGGCCCTAGCAGTTGTAGCCACTGTCGTGTGAATGCCCAGAAGAGTGGGAGAAAAGGATGCGCACTCGTTCACTCTCTCACACACACACAGCCCCAATTACAATATGACAAACTCAAAACAAGCAATGGAATGGTGCGCAGACCTCTCTTGCTGTGCCCGCTGCTCCCCTCAGCAGTGTACTTCGTCCGTCTGCATGTTCTGCTCCCCGCTCTGGCTCTGGTGAATTCTCTCACCCTCCCGCACTTCTGACTGTACCCAGTGCTTGTATAAATAAATAAATAAATCTTTAAAAAAAAAAAAAAACAACAAGTAATGGAGAAAAAAAAAATACAACAGCCCAGGAGGTCTCAGCGGAAGAATACACCACAGAGATAAAATAAAATAAAGTCCCAGAAACAAACCATAAAACATGTAATTTTTCCTTCCTATGAGACATATAATTTAAAATTGGCATGATTTAAAAAATTAAAGAAATGGAAAGTAAAAAAAAATCTTTGAAAACCAGATCAGAGATATACCAAAATAACTCAGAAAAGGAAATGAATGCTATGAGGAACACAGTCAGCAAACAGAAGATGAAACTTTAAATTTTAAAACAATAACAGAATTGCAAGATGTAAAAAGATCAATGGAGAAGGTAAAAAGCTCTGGAGAAAGCCGTAAAGTAGATTTAACCAAGTTAAAAAATGAAGCAGTAATCTTGAAGGCACAAATAAGGAAAGAATCAAGATAGAAAAAGAAAGAGAGCTACAGATGAAAAAGAATGAAGAAACACTTGGAGAATTACCTGAAACTAGAGGGAAGGAAATATAAAAATCATAGGAATCAAGAAGAGATAGATAAGGGAACTGAAAAAAACTATTCAAGGAAATAATGGAAGAAAACTAGCCAAACTTAAAGAAGGAACTGTACATGTAAATACAAGAAGCAAAAACAACTCCAAGTTACCTAAATAAAAGGAGATCTACAGCAAGACACTTAGTAGTAAAACTTCCAAAAGTCCAATACAAACAAAAAGTAATGACACTGATGAGGATGAAAAACAGATAACATATAAAGGAACACCCATTAGGATAACATCAGATTTCTCTAAAGAAACAATAGCAGGCAAGAAAAAATTGCAGTGACATAGTCAAAATACTCCAAGACAAAAATGCTGGTCAAGAGTATTTTATCCTTCAAAGCTCTCCTTCCTGTATGAGAAAGAAATAACGACTAGCTCAGACAAAGAAAATCTTAAGGAGTCTGCATTCACCAACCACTGCTCTTGCAAAAAAAAAAAAAAAAAAAAATTAAAAAGAGCTTTAGGATTTAAACCTAAAAGAGGAATGAGCAAGAAATTAACTAGAACCACAAACTAAGATCAAAATTGCAGTAACAGAATTTACAGCTCAATAATCATTCTGTCAATGTACTAAACTCACCAATAAAAGACACAGAACACCTAGTTGGATTAGGAAACAGAACCCAACCTTCTTCTGTCTCAAGGAACGTACCTAATTCCTAAGGATAAACATAGAATGAAAGTAAAGGGATGGGAAATAATTCCACAAGCAAACACCACCTAAAGGAAGGCAGGAACAGCCATACCTATATCAGGCAAAACAGACTTCTAAGTTATAAATGTAAAAAAAGACAAAAATGGATACTATAAAATGATCAAGGGAACACTTGAACAGGAAGACATAACATTTATCAATATATACCCACCAAATGAGGAGAAACTAAATACATCAAACAACTAAATCAAATCTGAAAACAGACACTGGAGAAATACTTATGTGGTTGGAGACTTCAATACCCCACTCTCATCAATTGACAGATCAACAAAATTGAAAATATTAAGAAGTCATAATGATCCTAAAAAAAGAACTAAACTGCATGGGTTTAAAATACACTTATAGGGCACTACACAACAAAAAAGTGGAATACATATTTTTCTTAAGTGTGTATGATTCATTCTCTAGGATTGACCACACACTGTGTCACATGACAAGAATCAACAATTTCATGAAGATTGACATCATACCAAGTATCCTCTCTGACCATAAAGGTACTGAACTAGAAATCAACTACAAATAGAAAAAAAGGAAATACGCTAATACATGGAGAGTGCACAATACATTACTGAGTGACCACTGGCTTAATGAAGAAATCAAAAAAGTCAAAAAATACCTTGAGACAAATGGCAATAAGGACACAACCTTTCAGAATAAATGGGACACAGCAAAAGCAGCACTAAGAGGGAAATGTATAACAATACAGGCCCACATCAAGAAACTAGAAAGAGCACAAATAAACTACACAAAAAAGAATTTTAAAAATCTAAAAGCCAGCACAAAGAAGGAAATAATAAAAATCAGAGCACACATAAATGAAATAGAAGTCAAACAAACAGTCCAAAAGATCAATGAAATCAAAGCTGGTTCTTTGAAAAAAATAAACATTATAGTCAAATCTTTAGCTTCACTCATGAAGAAAAACAGGGGAAAACTCAGATAAAAATGATCAAAATGAAAAAGAATTTCCAACAGACACTGCAGAAATTCAGAGGATAAAAAGTTATTACTACGAACAAGTATAAGCAAACAAAATTGCAATCTAAATGAAATGGACAGATTCATAGAATTATACAATCATCCTAGATTGAATAGGGAAGAAATAGAAAATCTGAACAAACCAATCACAAACAAGGAAATTGAAATAGTAATCAAAACTCTTCCAATAAACAAAAGTCCAGGACCACATGTCTTGACAAGCAAGTTCTACCAAACCTTTATTTTTTATTTTTCTACCAAACCTTTAAAGACGAACTAATACCTATCCTGCTCAGACTCTTTCAAAAAGTCAGGAAAGAAGGCATTCTTCCAAATGTATTTTGTGAGGACAATATCACACTAATACCAAAACCAAGCAAAGACATCACAAAGAAATAAAACCACAGACTAAATTCCCTAATGAACACAGACTCAAAAATACTCAATAAAATCATAGCAAACCAAATCCAGCAATGCATTAAAAAGATTGTACACCATGACCATGTTGGATTTATACCAGGAACACAAAAATGTTTCAACATCTGAAAATCAATCAACGTAATTCATATCAACAAAAAAGAAAGGATAAAACCACATGATTATATCAGTAGATGCTAATAAAACTTTTGGTAAGATTCAACATTCATCTATGATGAAAGCACTTGAAAAATTGGGGATAGATGGAATGTATCTTAAAACAATAAAAGCCATATATGACAAAACCACTGCTCTTATCAGTCTCAATGATGAAAGGCCTTTCCACCAAGATATGGTACAAGACAAGGATGTCCATTCTCTACTATTCAACATAGCATCATAAGTCCAGTTAGAGCAAGCAGGCAAGAGAAAGCTTTAAAACACATCCAAATTGGGGGAGAAGAAGTAAAGTTAACAATATTTACAGATGCTATGATAACATACATAGAGAACCCCAAAGGCACCATTGAAAAACTAATTAAAACAATAAACCAGTTCAGAGAAGTGGAAGATGCAAAACCAACACGCAAAAACCAGTTGCCTTCCTGTATACAAATAATGAACTAGAAGAAGAAAATAAGAAAGCCATCCCATTTTCAATATCACACACACAAAAAATATCTGAGATGAAAATTAATAAAGGAAGGGACGGACATATACAAAGAAAACTATACAACATTGTTAAAAAAAAAAAAAACAAAACCAGAAGACACAAAGAAATGGAAAGATATTCCCTGCTCATCTGCTCATGGAATGGAAGTGTCAACAAAATGACCATCCTACTCAAAGCAATTTACAGATTCAATCCAATCCCAATAAAAATCCCAATGTCAGGCCTCCCATGATGGTGCAGCGGTTGAGTGCTGGGCTGCGAAGCTTCCTGAAGCCTCTGCAGCGCCGGTTTGATCCCCGGCCACCAGCAAGGGTGCCACATGGCACGCAGACCTCTCCTACCGCCCGCTGTTCCCCTCAGCAGTGTACTTCAGTCCTTCTGCCTGCTCTGCTCCCCGCTCTGGCTCTGGTGAATTCTCTCACCCTCCCACACTTCTGACTGTACCCAATGCTTGTATAAATAAATAAATAAATAAATCTTTAAAAAAAAAAAAATCCCAATGTCCTGGGCCTCCCCTGGTGGCGCAGCGGTTGAGCACTGGTTGTGAGGCTGCCCGCAGCCTCTGCAGCGCCAATTCAATCCGGGCTGCCTGCAAAATCCCACAAGAAAAAAAAAAAAATCCCAATGTCCTTCTTCAAAGAAATAGAACAAAGATTACTGAAATTCATATGGAACCACAAAAAAACCCTAATAGCCAAAGCTCTCCTGACTAAAAATGGGGGAAATGGAGGTATCAGACTTCCTGACTTCAAACTACATTATAAAGTCATCATAACTAACATAGCATGGTACTGGAACAAAAACAGACACACAGACCAATGGAATACAATTTAGGACCCAGAAACAAAACCACATATGTGTGGACAGCTAATCTATGACAAAAGAGCAAAGAATAGACATTGGAGCAAGGAAATAGACCAGTATCTCATACCATATACAAAAATCAACTCAAATGGATAAAGGACTGACCCAAGACTGTGGTTACAAACTCACCTGAGTTGAGGGGTGGTGGCAGAGTCCACTCAATGAAAGGATGCCGGTCGAAAGTGTTGGCCCTTTGACACTTCTGCACGTCTCCATCATTTTGGATCATGTCCACAATCTCCTGTGTCCAGGTGGTGCCTGGAAACATCAGCTATTTTCAGTTCTAGCTACTTGATGCACAATCTATTTCCTTCATTATTTGTACATTCCATGAAATTCATATTTCCTAAGTATTGAGCAGAATTAGCTCACTTGTCAACTCCCCTCCTTGACACCCACAGTATAAAATTCTTCTGTGTGATACCCATAGTAACAGCAACTCTATGACACCCCAAATGGAAAGTCCTCTCCTGTGAGCACTGATGCCCCTGGTTCTTATTTTCAAGGACTATATGTATATCTGCCATCTTGTAAGACAGAGTCAACAGAGGTAAGAATGTGTCCTTTTATTCTCTTTATCCCTAATACCTAGCATAGGACTTTGCACCTTATTAATGTAGCTTTAGTGAATGAAAATTGAATCAAATTAATGTAGAGAGATATAATGGTGAATTAGCCACAGTCTCTGCCCCAATGCTTGTAATCCCCCCCCCACCCCGCAATGTAGGGTAAATGATTTTGAGGCATTTCTGCCTTCCCACCATTAGGATTGCATGCCTGATGGGGCACCTGCATTTTGTTACATTGTTATTTTCAGTTATGCTGTTACTCTTGTGGGCCATGGCTGCAGTACTGATATATTCACCAAGAGAAGCAGAGTCAGGAGAGAGAACAGGAGAGAGAAAAGGAGAGATAGCACCAGAGAGCCCAGTAAAGAGTGAAGATTCACTGGGTGCTGGGAGGCCTGCCAGCCTCCTGGCCCCCCAGCACCCCTGCCATGTACCAGGTTGCTGCACTACATGTAAAAGCTCAATAAAGACCTGAGAAACCCTCCAAGGGCTCCAGGACTCTCTTTTATCCATCTGCACAGAATCATAAAGAACCTGCTCTGAGCCTTCCTGGCACTATGCCGAGATAATATATAAAGAGATTGCTTCTTGCCCATTTTTCTCTTCTCTCTCAATAGCTCCTCAATTTTTAGCTGGGTATGTAGCTAACTGGCTCAAAGGTGACATTTTCAATATTTCTTGCAGCTAGATGTGAATATGACACTAAAGTTTGGGAAATTGTCTTGAAAGGGCAAGAATATGACCTATTTCTTCCCTTCCTATCTCCTTGCTGCTTTTCAGTGTGTGAGTGTGATGTCTGGAGCCCTAGCAGTCATACTAATATAAAAACAAAAAGCACAACCTGAAGATGATGGCACAAATAATTAAAAGGATCCCAAGTCTCTTATGCTTAATGCTGCCCCTATTTTAGGTCTGGACAATTAACCACCAGACTGGTTTATGTGTGTGTGTGTGTGTGTGTGTGTGTGTGTGTGTGTCAGGAAATGGGGGAGAGGTCTGACATTTATAGCCAAATTGAATCCTAAATGACACAGAAGAGAGGTATATACAGAAGTGTGGGTAGGCAAAGAGCAAGGCTGTGCTAATTATCCACCAAATACTCATTTTTCTCTTTACTACTTTTGGCGTGTCTCTGGTTCACAAACTTGATTCTAGTGGACACATGATATATACACAGATAATTAAGAGATGAACAGTATACAGTAAGAGCCATAAAGGGTGTACAATGGACCACAGGTATACAAAGGAGGGCAACTTAATGCAGAAGGGGTGAGTAAGGCTCAACTGAGAGGATAGCTTTTTTTTTGAAGATTTATTTTTTATTTATATAATAGCTGGGGTACAGGCCAGAGGCATGGGAGGGTGAGAGGATTCACCAGAGACAGAGTGGGGAGCAAAACAGGCAGAGATACCAAAAGCACTGCTGAGTGGAGCAGTGGGCATGACAGGAGAGGTCTACCGCACCATGTGGGAATCTCCCTGGCCGGCCAGGAATTGAACCCGTGCTGCAGAGGCTGTGGACAGCTTCACAGCACTATGCTCAACCCGCTGCGCCACTGGGGAGGCCCTGCTGGTTTTTTTAATGATTTATTTATTTATGCATACAAGAGTTGGGGTATGGGCCCAAGGTGTGGGGGGTGGGGATGGTGAGAGGATTCACCAGAGTTAGAGTGGGGATCAGAACAGGTGGACTGTCTGAAATACACTGCTGAGGCGGGCAACGGGCTAGACAAGAGAGGTCTGCTGCGCGATGTGGGTTAGCTCCCTGGCCAGTCAGGATCAAACTCCTGCTGTGCTGCTGTGGCTGCAGATAGCTTCATAGTGCTGAGACTTAAACCCTTACGCCACCAAGGAGGCCCCTGAGATGGTAGCTCTGGAGTGAAGAGTTATAGTTGTACTGAAATGTTCACAAGCACAGGAAGCCACCACAGGCAGGGAAATCTCAGAAGGCTGAACAAAGGCAGGCCCACTTCTCCCTTGGGGTGTGTAAGTAGGGCTCACAGGCAGTTCAATTGCAGTGAGGTTGGGACAAAAATCTGGGGAGTTTGGGACCATCCTATAGAGGAACTTAGAGTTGATTGCTTAATTTCCAAGGAGAGTGGAAAACAAATTCTGTGGTACAGATTTAAATTCAGATCTGGGCAACAGAAGTGTCCAGAACAAACACACAGAAAAAGAGATTCTTGAGAAGAGAAACCTGCTGGCAGAAAGCCCCTCCCCTGATTTACTGACTAAACCACCTGAGTGGAAAATGAGACTGAGGAGAACTGAGGGAACTCTGGGCCAGAAGGACAGAGTACATGCCAGGGCATGGTCAAAAAAACTGTGGTGGATGCAGATGGTAATCCTGAAATATTTATGGTTATGAATATCTAGAGTTCTCTTGTTGGGCCAAATGGTCACCAAGAGTCTCCCAAACAGGTTATAGCTTAAAGCTCTTCACTCAGTCACATTGCTTGAAATTATACCTACAGATAACTCAGTAAGCTTATCAGTCATTAGACTCCATCTTCTCTGGTTATGATGTTCTCTCCTCCTCCACCCTGGCACCAGCCTTCTAAGCTCTTTGCCTTTGCAACCCTTACTACTCCCAGGACCCCCTTTTCATTTTGTACAATACACATAAATATCACCTCCCCTCTCCCAGATCCTGGTGCACTTGTATAAATTTGGTCCCAATGCCATTAGTGCTTTTTAAAGTAGGATGAAAGTGCTTAGTTCTGCATCAGTCTCTTCCTCTAAGAGAAGCTTCTTCTTCCTGGGGAATATAACCAAAATGATAATGCGTACATTGTGCAAAAATGGAAAATGATGTAAGAATTATATAAAATAAAATATTAATTTAAAAAATGAGCTTCTAGGCAAGGGCATCATTCACTTCCAGGACTTCTCAGAAGACATGAACAATCTCAGTAGATAAGACTGGGTTGGGGCAAGATTTACTATGAGAACCTCTGAGCTATGTAAATACTTTTATAATTTAAAATAATCATATAACTTATTCAGTTCTTTGATGATTTGGGATTCTGGATGTCACTTTATCTAGCAGGGACCTAAATCAAAGTAAGAATGGTTTTCACTTTTCCACAGTCCAGTTTTGATAAAATCTTGCTTTTTAAAATCAGGTATTATAGATATTGGATCAACATGGTGACAGAGAAACACTACAAGTAAGTTCTCCCATAAAAACGATTAATAGGGAGGAAAAGCAGCAGGTCCTGGCAAGAACCAGGACCCAGAAGATAAATGGGTGACTCTGGCAAACTGCCCTAAGAGGAAAATTGCAATAAAAGAGCATGAAAGAGAGTAAAGTTCAGAACCCTGCCACTCTCCTCTACCCACAAAGCCAGCACACTCCACCCAACAGAAAGTAGAAAAAAGAAAAAGAAAAAAAAAAAACAAGAGCAAACTAGAGATCAAGAGGGACTGTGAGTGTAAAGAAGAGAGGCATATATAGAAATGTGGGTAGGCAAAGAACTGCAAGTACGGTACCCTGCGAATGGGAAGTGTGGAGAACTGTGCAGGAATCACCACAGAGGTGAGCGAATACCTCCAGGCACCATTGGAGGAAGATAAGGACTCCACGGAGAGACCTGCAAATAGCCCAAGGCCAGCCAAAAAACTTGTGTGGAAAAGCACATGCTCAAAAAGCATATGCGGATCACAGCTGCCTAGGACCCTGCACCTGTGACCTAGATTCGTGAGGAAATGCGCAGGAGCCATCACTGAAGTGAATGACCCTCACTGATTAATCAAAAACCAGGCATCCAACATGGGAGTGGGGTGCAAAAGGTGCCATTTCTGTGGACACTTAACTGGGCTACCACCCATGTCCTGGATCTGAGGGCCTCAGAGCTAAGAATCGGGGCATGAAATTTGGGGTGTGGAATTCCCCATGCGTGGAGCACAGGGTAGACACAGCACCCCCTTGCCATTGAGGCACTCCATGGCATCCCCTCTCTGTTCCCTGGAGACCCACGAAAGGGGGAGGGCGGGGGGGCGGGGGGGGAGGGAAGCACAGCTTTGGAAGGATACTACAAAAGATCTCTAGTGCCACCTAGTGATCACAACAAAGCAACCAACTTCCTGATAGTTGGAAGCCAGGGATCCCAAAACCACCCTCAGGCTCTAAGAGAGGGTGAGCCACAGAAACGGGGGTAAGAAGGGAAACAAGGTGTGGAGTAAGACCCCATTCTAGAACTGAGAGCCAGGCACAGGATCCCGGGCACACCATATGGGACGCACCATAACAGTGGGCACTGCACAGGCTGACAGCTGGCATTTTGGATCTCAGTGCCCTGGGACTGAGAACTAAAGCACAGAAATTAGAGTGTGGGATCTACACAGCTGCAGGCACAGCACTGGGTGAACATAGGGCAGGCACAGCACCCAGCATGAGCAATAGTTCCTGTGTGGTCCCCTCCCCCTCTCTGTTTCTCATAGTGCTACCCTCCCCCTCTCTGTTTCTCAGAGAACTACAGGGGAAAAGCACAAGTCCACAACTATAAGTCGCTGACATCTCCTACAGACCAGATCAAAATAACCAACAAGCAGATTCCCTGCTGGAACTGAGTAAATACAGAGGGATGGAATTGTAAGGGACAGTGTACAGCAGCACAGCCACAGCATCAACACAATGCTGGAGTTTTGGCCTAACAGTGCTGGACTTAGTTTGGTAAACAGTTTCCA